GCGACTAACGGGATCGGGTGGATCAGGCTCGCTGGCTTGGTTGACACGTCATCGGTACCCGAATTGCGCAGCAGAGGCCCAGATAAGCTGCGTATCGGGTAAAATACGCATAGAAAATTTCCAATTACACATTGAAAAATAATTGTTGCGTACCAATTCGCATTTAAAATGTTAGATCATGCATAAAAGTTTAAAACAAATGCGTCACGGAATATATTTATAAAAATAACTTGCGTAATGAAAAAGACATCGATTGCTATCAAGTTGTACTGTTAGTATAGGACTAGTGTTGTACTGTCAGTATAGGATGAGTGATTTTTTATGAAATCATTTCCATTATATTTAAGTTGGTTTTGATTAGGTATGACATGAGGCAGAACATACCTGCTTAGTAAACTTACTCAATGACATAATACTTAAGTGAGTAAAATGACTGAAATACGCACATATTTGAAAGCAGTGGGTAATGGAAAATGAAATACCCACTCAACATTCATAATACCCACTCCAAAAAAATACAGTGGGTACAGTACCCACATGAGCTAAATCTTATCTGGAGCTCTGCTTGATAAATCGAGCTATTATTCTGGTCAAGGTGTTAAGATAAACCCTGCTACCTTATTTTGAATATGATCTAATTATAGCCGCATCATGATTTTTATTAATTCCGAGTACTTCAACAGAGTGAGATAACTTGGTACTCAATGCCCATGCAATATCTCTGTTATCAGGCCACTTGTGTAACACATCAACAGTGATACCCAACTGCTTTGACAGGATAGTCTGGTGTCTGATGTCACCATGGTGTAGTGGCCATGTGTATCAAACAAGAAGTTGTTTTTGTATCCTGATGGGCTGTTGTACCAGCTTCACCTGCTCTGATTAGCCAGTACAATGTCTACATTGTATCGCATGTATTTCCACCCCCCTTTCCAACTCAGACCCTCCACTGAGTGTATGTCAGGGCCTTTCACCCAGCTTCAGTCGGGGAGCTGTGGGGAGTCGTACATAATACCGGATTCAGGTAAAGCAAACTTGCAAAGGCCTCTTAACCTCTGTAGACTCTCGTGGAAATAGTTTCTTGGTGAATCAAGAGTTCAGCCACCTCAGCACTCTGTAAAACAGAGTGTGTTTGGTCCTAGATAACAAGGCTGCCCTAAACACAAGGAAACAATGCCAAGGAAATGATTTAGTGACTCTCACTTTCATTAGGATGTGATTAATTTTCTTGGCCTAATACCTGTTCTTGATAGTGTTCAGAACATGTTTGTGGGTGTGGCTTGGCTCCATGTTACGGAATCAGAGGTTATTAATTGTACTGTTTAAACCATGCAGGTGATGTATTGGTATCGAGGTTAAAAGGGACATTTTCAAATTTGTGTCAAATGTGATCCCAAATTAATCATTCTCAGAGTAAAAAGTTAGTTTTTACGCACAAACTGCCCTTTGTTGTGACTAAACTTTCAAAGATTTTCCTTGATAATAACCGTCTGTCTTTGTCATTACCAGTTTCATTCATCATGTTAAAATTGGATTGATTTCATTTTGTCATAAGCTTTAGATGACGCCTGTAGTTTTTCTAGCATTGTCCATAAATTGGTTAGTTGTGCCACCAATTAAATCTAGACAGCATTTCAGGAAAATAAAGCACAGGCTAGGAAAAATACTCGTGTTTCTGGTTATGATCAACCAGTCATTTGACCATAACCCTGAGATAATATATTTTACTCTGTTACCTAACCATCAAGAAACCCCATTCAGAGTTACATTAGATTTATGCATATGTTTTAACCCATCTTCATCTCAATACGTGTATTTTATCTAGACAGGTATCTGTAGGTATGGTAGGGGTTAGGACTTCAATTAGAGAGTAGAGAGCTCTTCTGTCCCATCCCTTCAACTCCACTGTTGTAGGATGTGTCGACCAGGTGTTAAGAGACACCTGTAGGTGCAGTGAGGGTATCAGGAAGGTGTTAACGAGCTCTCACCTGTGTTGGGGGAGGCAGTGTACTGGATGCTCAGGTGACCCCAATGAAGATGTCCTCAAAGTAGCGACTCGCTCAGCATCTCCACAAACTTGGTCGGTCACGTTCTGCCACCTAGGTGTGAACACTGGCTCGTTCATTGAGTCGTCAGTTCATTCATGTAGAGGAAGAAGCTGTTCTTTGACAACTGTCATCACCCTTTCATTTAGACTTATGTACGTGACAGGTCAGGCTTTCACTGATCCATTCTAATAGATATTTAGTACTTTTTTACTTGATATTCTACAATGAGAGAATATCACATAAAAGGCAATGATAAATCTGTTCTTTCAGCTTGTTTGGCAGTGATATATTTGAAATAAAGTCAAATACTTCAGGTAATATATACCTGTGATTGAGTTTCTATGTAATTGGTGATGTAGGCTTCAGAAAGGGAGGAACTTTTGCAAGGTGAAATAATGAGAATCTTTGATTAATTTCTAATGGCTTTAATCACGGTAAAACCCTATGCCCACAAGGGATAGATGATGCTTTTATCAGAACCTGTTTTTCATAGATCTGAGCTGGTATGTTACAAACATATCAGATTTAATACCCTCAGGTAGTATCTGTGCTGCAAACCAACATCAATGGTATGAGTATTGAGTACCCATCTTCCCTAGAGTGAGAATACCTACACCATGGTATCACATTGAAAAGCTGTCCATACAGTGCTTTCACAGGCAGCAGTGAGAAAAGGGGACCCTTACTATAACCCTATGAATTGTTACAAATTGAAGTTGGAAAAGATCTACTAATTTAGGAAAAACAGCAGCCAAAACCCTCATGAAAGTTGCAGTGACCTCCCAACCTCTGTGTCGCATTACTGGTAATAAATATGAGTACCTGGTATGATGATAGATGCAGTGTTTTTGCTAATATATACAGTGTATTTTTTTAATATACATAGCTTGTCGTACAAGGCGACTAACAGGATCAGGTGGTCAGGCTCGCTGACTTGGTTGACACATGTCATCGGTTCCCATTTGCGCAGATCGATGCTCATGCTGTTGATCACTGGATTGTCTGGTCCATGCTCGATTATTTACAGACCGCCGCCATATAGCTGGAATATTGCTGAGAGTGGTGTAAAACTAAACTCACTGACTTTATATACATAGTTTTTTTATCTTTAAGTTTATTTATGTATGTAAATATCCAAGGGTTTTTCATGCATACATTTTGAGGGGAATTTTGTTGTAGTTTTCCTCAGTATCATGGTAGGGTAAATTTCCAGTTTGTGGCTTGATGGTTTGGTCCAATGCAGTTTTGACATAGGGGAATGTGGTAACAGGCGACCTCTGCACCTCCTGTTTTCGTTCTGACTTGACATTTGCTGACAAGCCCTTCACAGTATTGATGTGAGATACCCTGCAGACCTTACCATGTACTTGCCACTGAAACAGACCCACATCACACGCAAATGTCACCCTCCATCACAGGGAGCATGTCAAAAGTTAAAATGTGTATTAAAATATAAATACCAAGATTTTTGTTATGAATTTAGTCCAAGTTTAAGACAAAACAAAAATTTGTTAAATATTGTAAAATAGGATTAAATATTGTGATAATGTCTCAGTAAGTAAACGGCATGATATTGTACTTAATTGGTTTTGAGAAAACCTTTGTCCATGTTGGAAGGGTGACTGTAGCCATTTTGACATCTCCCATGTTGTTGACATATCTGAGATTTATTCCCCATCATGTGTTTGTGTTTACACCAGCAACTATTCCTGGAATGGACAGCCACAGCATTCAGTCTGAACATCGCCCTACCTGGCATAGCCTATGTTCACAATGTAATGTGTGACTTCAATAGCAGTTTGTTGCTATGAAATTCAGGATATTTTGAAATGAATAAAATAAATATTTCCTGATCAGCATTGATATGATAAAAATGCAGGGATGACTGTATAGGATTAGAATTAATAATAATAATGATCTTAGCATGCAGTCATTTTAATCATCATCAGGCTTTAAACACTTTGGGGGAGGTGGGGTAGCCTAGTGGTTAAAGTGTTCGCTTGTCACGCCAAAGGCCCGGGTTCAAATCGCCACATGGGTACAATGTCTGAAGCCAATTTCTGGTGTCCCCTGCCATGATATTGCTGGAATGTTGCTAAAAGCGGCGTAAAACCCAACTCACTCATGTGTTAATGATTAAGTTCAGAATTGGATGTATGTCAAAGTCCTTATATCTGCCATTTAAATAGGAACTAAATGATTATTAACAAGTATTTTCACCACTTTAGTAAGTACCTAATTAACAAACAAATAGGCCTTGATAGTAAAAAGGTTCATAAACAGAGATATCATCTAAGACTGTAATCCCCTGTACATGGTGTGTATCCTGTTTATTCCACGTCTTATCAGCCATATATCATCTATACGTGAAGGTAAACTGAAGCGGAGAATAACCCTCATTACACCCCTGCCAGTGCCTGACATGCTGTCTACAGCCATTCAGACCCACTCATTGGAAACTTGCACAAAGTAATGGCTTTTCATGCTCAGTCACAGGCATACGCGGATTTGGGGTGCGAGAACCAAGTTTATCGGACCCTTGTACCATATGATTATTTGTTAGGGCGAGTGCACAAGGGATATAGTGGGGCAGATAGTCAGTGTCATAACTGCCTGTCTTGTAATCCAAACTCCTCTTACTTGATCCCTGGGATTTTGTGATAAGGACTGACAACATTTGCTAGTGTTTGATGGATGACTCTATGCTAATTGTGTGCTTTAAAGGGGAAATGGGAAAGATCAAAGATTGGAGATTGAAGAAGATATAAGGGTTTTAATAAAGGTTTACAGAGCAATCTGTATTGAAGTTTGCCTTGGATACAGTAAAATGCCTAAACAGCTTGACAGGACTGCTAGATTTGCCCTCTTACATTATGCTGAAATACACTAACTGAAATACTCATGAATGATTTAAGTACAGAATTTTGAAGAGGTTTAAATTATTTAATTTAGAATTAAAGAAAAGAAAAGTGAACCAGTTAACAGGTGAGTATGATTGTGTAGTAAAACTGTACCGCATGAAGGAAATAGCGATTATTATAACCATAGGATCACATACATAGTGTACAATGTGTAACTAAATGGCCTTATGTAGAAATGTATAACATGTATAAGTACTATATGTTGTGTATAACTTGTGGGCATGGTGTATTAACCCTTTGCTGTCATCAAATGGTTAATTGTTTGTTTCAGCTGTTTAGGGTTGATTTTCAATCAGAGTACTTATATAGTAACCTGTTTTATAGTCATGTCCTTTGCCACAAACTGCATGAGATGAGTGTGAAGAAGTTTAATAGAGTAGTGAGCATGGTTTTGGTAGATTTTTGTCAGAAAACACTTACTTATTTTGATAGTTTAATGACTATTTATGTCTGAAGATTCAGGAATATATTTTCTTCTTTTTGGGAGAATGGACACTCAGATTTCAGCTTGTTTTCATGATTATCAATTTTCTGTGCAAAAAATTATTAATAATTTTTTTCTTTGACAATATTTTTCACATTAGTGTTATTTTTCTTTTGTATTTATTTCAATATATTCACTATATTCAAATATGCATTATCATGATATTATTGCAGTAACATGAGCAATACAGCTTGTTTTAGCTTACTTGTATTAAAGAAAGATTAAGTTAGGTTAATGGTTGAGAGTTTTGCTTGTCTACATAAGACATGGATTTGAGTTATGGAAAAAATGCACTGTGTAAAGGCAATTCTTGATAAGCCTGTACAGCATTGCTGGAATTCTGCTTACCTTACCCAGCCTGAGTCAGTCACTTCCTGAGCTACACAGTAAAGCCACTGTTTCATGATTGGACTGACTGCTGTGCAGGACCATTCACAGATAAGAAACTAACAGTTTCTTTGTTTATTGAGACAATATGTCACAGATTAAGTATCTCAATATAGAGTACCACACACTTTCGTTATACAGGATGAATAGGTGTATTGAATATTGTTGGCCAAACCAACATGCTGTTAAGTGGTCTAAATATATATCCTTGCCAAACCAGTTAGTTTAGGAACAATGTTTACACAAACCTTTGAAATTCTGATGCATATGGAATTTGAATAATTGATGGGAAACTTTTTTCATATTCAGTGGTTACTTTCAGAATGTGGATGTGCATGCTTTTGATGGAAAATTTATGTACACTGGAATATTTATAGCTTTAGTTAAGCATGAACTATGTTTGCTTGACATTTTGTGTAGAACTAGATATATCAATAGCTTGTAGTTTTATTATTTTTCATTCCTTAGAGCTTTAAATGTTATTTGTTCATAAAAGTACATCAACAAAGTATCCCGAATACTATGTTTTGACAGTATACCCCTTTTAAGTTGTCATTGTCAATTTGCAGCTTCCATGAAATTACATGTTCAAAAATGCATAGTCATTTTGTTGAAAGTGTGAATGTGTCATTCGTTGCTGAAGTTTTTGTGAACTCCATGTGCGAATCCAGACTGAGTTTGACCCAATATCAATGTCCTTTTTCATTTGTCATGCAAGAGTTATCTCCCTTCTTCAGTTATCATCTCTGTTTCATTGGATCGACTTCTAAGTAATTTACCCTGTCAAGCTTCATGTGCTCTGTCATGTCATGGTAGTCTGAAATGTGTATGTGTTCATAAGTGTTGTTATTAAATGGTTTTGTTGGATAATCCTACATTTCATCTTGCCTTGTGAAACTAGTTGCATAGCAACCATACAAATTTAAGAAACTTTGTGCCTGTATGGTTATATTTGTTAACAAAAACTATTGACATTTCATTGATCACATTAATGATATTCAAATATTGATTTCCAAAATTCTGTTGCTTTTTTGTGAAGTACTACTGAGATGATGAAGCCAAGATGAAACGTGGGATTTAGTGGAATTAGATTGTGATATGGCATCAATGGATGTCACTTTTGTTCAAATAATATCCTCTAGTTGTAAATTTGTTTTGTCTTCAGAGGTGGCTCAACTATCCAGCCAGCATATGACAAATTTCCCGTCAACCAGTTTGCGGGAGGACAAAGCCCAGGACAGGGAAGTTTCCAGTCCTCACAGGTGAGACTATCACTTTGATAGGGTATACACCGCTTGATACAGTATGCATTCCTTGATACAGCACACACACTTTAATTCATTGAACAAACCCTGATAGATTACATACACCATGATTCAGTCCACACTACTTGAAAGAGCATACCCTTTGATTTGGACTCACATTTTGACAGAGCTTACACATGCTGATTTGGCATAATTTTGGTGTGGTTTTTCATAATAGTTGCAGCAGTGTTTCAGCACCATTTACACATCAAGCACACACTCCACACACCAATTTAGGCAGCTGCATCCAGATCATTTATGCTGCTACATCCGTAGTTGTTGCACAGCTGTGTAATGAGTTTCTAAACATATGAAAATAGTCACTGGGTACGAAGTATGAAACTGAAACCGAGATGTAACAGACAGAGAGTCAGGTGAGGATGTGCCATGAGTTACTGTTCACTTTTCAAGATACTTGGCAGAAAAGAAACACCTACTTTGCTGTACAAGAGATACTAGTTATTACATTATGGCAAAAACAGCATCCCCTATCAAGTGGTTAACTGACTGCCCTCATGGTGATGCCAGTGCAGTACAGGTAGTCAGTGTGCCATGCTTGTCAAGGTCCTGCTGAAATGAGGATTGTTTGGTCACCTGGCTGCTGAAAGCTTACATTTATTCAATATCCCAAAAGAAAGTATTTAAGGTGTATATTTTTTTTCAAAATGTTATAGAAAGAGCTGAGGAGATATATTCATTTTTCTAAAACTGTGAGGGTTTAGTGGATATCACTACATATTGTCAGTACAACTGAGGGAATAGTGGATATCAGAACATATTGTCAGTATAACTGAGGGAATAGTGGATATCAGAACATATTGTCAGTATAACAGGGAATAGTGGATATCACTACATATTGTCAGTATAACATAGGGAATAGTGGATATCACTACATATTGTCAGTATAACATAGGGAGTAGTGGATATCACTTCATATTTTCAGTATAACATAGGGAATAGTGGATATCGCTAAATATTGTCAGTACAACTGAGGGAATAGTGGATATTGCTACATATTGTCAGTATAACATAGGGAATAGTGGATATCACTAAATATTGTAAGTACAACTGATGGAATAGTGGATATTGCTACATATTGTCAGTACAACTGAGGGAATAGTGGATATTGCTAAATATTGTCAGTACAACTGAGGGAATAGTGGCTATCACTACATATTGTAAGTACAACTGAGGGAATAGTGGCTATTGCTACATATTGTCAGTACAACTGAGTGAATAGTGGCTATTGCTACATATTGTCAGTATAACAGGGAATAGTGGATATCGCTACATATTGTCAGTACAACTGAGGGAATAGTGAATATCGCTAAATATTGTCAGTACAACTGAGGGAATAGTGGCTATTGCTACATATTGTAAGTACAACTGAGGGAATAGTGGCTATTGCTACATATTGTCAGTACAACTGAGTGGAATGCTAGATATTGTCAGTGCAACTGAGGGAATAGTGGCTATTGCTACATATTGTCAGTATAACAGAGGGAATAGTGGATATCGCTACATATTGTCAGTACAACTGAGGGAATAGTGGATATCGCTAAATATTGTCAGTACAACTGAGGGAATAGTGGATATTGCTAAATATTGTCAGTACAACTGAGGGAATAGTGGCTATCACTACATATTGTCAGTATAACTAGGGAAACTGAGGGTATGAGTGAATAGTGGCTACATACATATTGTCAGTACAACTGAGGGAATAGTGGCTATCACTACATATTGTCAGTACAACTGAGGGAATAGTGGATATCGCTAAATATTGTCAGTACAACTGAGGGAATAGTGGCTATCACTACATATTGTCAGTACAACTGAGGGAATAGTGGCTATCGCTACATATTGTCAGTACAACTGAGGGAATAGTGGCTATCGCTACATATTGTCAGTACAACTGAGGGAATAGTGGCTATCGCTACATATTGTCAGTACAACTGAGGGAATAGTGGCTATCGCTACATATTGTCAGTACAACTGAGGGAATAGTGAATATCGCTAAATATTGTCAGTACAACTGAGGGAATAGTGGCTATTGCTATATATTGTAGGTGCAACTGAGGGAATAGTGGATATCGCTACATATTGTCAGTGCACCTGAGGAAATAATGGTTATCGCTAAATATTGTCAGTACAACTGAGGGAATAATGGTTATCGCTACATATTCTCAGTACAACTGAGTGAATAGTGGATATCGCTACATACTGTCAGTACAACTGAGGGAATAGTGGATATTGCTAAATATTGTCAGTGCAACTGAGTGAATAGTGGCTATCGCTACATATTGTCAGTACAACTGAGAGAATAGTGGATATCGCTAAATATTGTCAGTATAACTGAGGGAATAGTGGCTATCACTACATATTGTCGGTACAACTGAGTGAATAGTGGTTACCGCTACATATTGTCAGTGCAACTGAGGGAATAGTGGATATCACTATTGTCAGTACACCTGTCCGGGAATAATGGAGATCACCACATATTGTCTGTATAACTGTGAGGGTATAGTGGGTATAAGTAACATCAGTAAACTTAACTTTAATTATTTTTATAACCCTAAATCAAGGCTAACCACTGACACCTTAGTGTTTAAGGTAGGTGCAGAGATGTTTCACATAGTGATAGTTAATTAGGGTATTTACTGTATGTTACATTCTTGCTGTAGCTGTTGAAGAGGGTTTAAAAATGTTTTAAAACAAAAAAGAAATCAATAACTCCTTCTTAGATTGTCCATTTAATAACAGTTCTCACATGTCTACTTTATTAAAATGGGAAATTGATTACTATTCCTCCAGGTAAGTTGATATAAATTCTCATACAGGAGAATGGGTGGTTATAAAACATTTGATATTTGTTAGACAAGAGTATTCAAAGTTGCTACAATCAGATTGCCTAACCAGAAAAAATACAATCAACTTGGTCATTTGTGACAAAAAGCCTTTCAATTTGTAAGTAGTTGTTGGGAGAACATTTTAAAACCGGAGTGAACATCAGATGAGTGCCAACCAGTGTGTTAATGTCACTAACAGCTCTCCCATCTCAAGGACATCTACTTGAAACGCAGGTGTCGAGGGGTTTTTTAACTTGAAAATTTATGTGCATACACCGAAATGCTGACATGAACACTGTTTTAATACTTAAAGCACACAGACACATTTAAAAGCTGTTAGATCCCTTGTTGAAATGACACTAAACTGATGCTGCGATTTGAATCTCCGTGCAAACAACTCGTCAGCTACCTGTGCATACAAATGCTGTAATCGTGCATGTTGGAAAGGTGAGACAAAACCTACACTAAATTAGGTAAAAACTGTTTTAATGTCTTGAATTATTTATAAGGTTGCCAAGGCAGGTGTTTACCATGAATGATAAAATCTGTACGACAGATTGTCCTCGAAGGCACACAATTTGTCTTGGCATGAATATGGACTGTTATTTCTGTGGTAGATAAACTGTATTGTTTGGGTAATAAACACGCACTGGGTTGGGTACAATGTGTGAAGCCCATTTCTGGTGTCCCCTGCCGTGATTTTGCAGGAATATTGCTAAAAGCGGCGTAAAACCAAACTCAATCAGTCAGTCAGTTACCATGTGGAGACTGACAGGCAGGGAAATGTCAAATATATCATGCAGCATAATGAAAAGTCAACACAGTGGCAAAAATATTTTTAATACAACTAAGAAGTACAAATTCAAATATGAAAATTGATAAACTTCATGAAAACACAACCCTCAAATTCACCTCATTTCATATTATCAAAAGAATTTCAAACAAAAAAACAACAAAGAACTAAAAATATTACAGTTTATATCACATCTGGAATATACTTCCAGTTTCAAAATAAATATGATTCACAAAAAACCGTCACCTCATTTTAACCCAGCATGTGAATAGTTAACAAATAGGGCAAAAATGTATCTGGGGACGTTGACATTTCACTTTGGCGTCATCGGCAGTCCAAACCATTGCAGGCTTCCTTCCCTGTTGGGCACCAAAGCGGCAGTGGTCGTATTGCAGTGAGATGGCATAAGACCATTGTGTAGACAGCTGGCCCCAATATAACCAGGCAACTCACTATATAAGGATAGGGCGTTAGATTGTGGTATTGGAGATCAAGTAACTGTATCCCAAGTCCAGGTTCTTGGTCCTTGTACAACACATCAGGTATATCTGTCAGCAGGTGCCTCCTTATCCTCCTCCTCCTCCCAATGTACAGGGTGCGTATGTGTATTGTGTCCTGTTATTACCCAGCCAGGTAATAAGCTTCCGTCGCTTCCTGGTAATGAAGGAATATTCTTGCAGACAATGGAATTGGAGTATGGTCTGTATCGAACATGTGGAGACATATTGGAGACCTATAAACCTTTAAGGTTTTTTTGTGGCATGGCATTTGTGTTAACAATTTGTTAACAGGTGGTAAGTAAAATAGGACATTGTTGACTTCAAATGCATTTAAATAAATTTCACTTTCAATAGCATCCGAAAAAATGTGTTTTGGGGGCTAAGTGTGAATCATGTGATACAGGGTGTGTAATGTTTTTGATAATTAATGATTGTTGTGGATAATTTGAGAGGAATGGAATTTTCAGACTGTCCTGAACCAATGGCGCCAGCAAAAGGTCACCTCAAGGAGATAGAGATCTTAGAATTATGTTATATCCCATTGCAGGGTGTCCCTGTCATGCAACCATTTTGTTTTGTGGGTAAATATTGATAAAGTTTAATTATCTTGTTTGTGGAGGGCATGGTTTGTCTGTGGGGGCAGTTTGCAGCTGGCCTGTTGGCTCCCCAGAGAAGGTGAACTGAGGCTTGTGTTATCACCCAGGAGGATATTGTGGGTGTTCAGTTATACAAGCTTAGAGGCGCCAGCCAGTATAATTTTGGCAGAACCATGCTTTGCTGTAAGTTACAAAATTGACCATAAAACATTGCCTCTACTTTAAACAAGATATTTACCTTGGTACCTGTACTTATTAATAAATAGTCAATTGTTCAGCTTTCAATGTGATTTTCTGATTTTGAGCAGTTTTGGTAATGTAATGTGATAAAATGGATGGTTGGGTTTCTTCACAAGCATGTAACCAAACATGCTTATAATGTTAACTGATACAGTTTCTTCACATTCCTAAATTTAGACACCAACTGTACCAAATATTCCTAGTTGCCTTGATTTGGGTTTCATGTCTTCCAGCAGGCAGGTGGTGTATGGTTTGAAGGTTACTGTAGAGAAACTGGTTTGATTCTTGTGATTCAGTTGACAGCAGTATTTTGGATGACTTGGGCTCTTGTTTGTATTAGTGATCCTATAAGCTATGGGGTTAGTCAGCGGAGACATGGTTACAGTATTACTGGGTTACAGATGCTGCATGACGTGGCCAACTCATCTGCTGATTCTTGAAGCACATTCTTCCTTGTTGAATAAGGCTAAAAATATCATTTGACTCTTTTATGTTGAAGTCAGCAAAACTAAATTGAACATGTAGTGTCACATTCTACCATTACTTGAGTCACATACAAAATACAAAATCTGAAATCTGTATTAAGATATGTCAAAATAATTATGTTGCTACATAGGAATGTCATAATGAGAAATATGAAAAATTGTAACTGAAAACATTTGAAAAGCGTAACTCCAGATTAATGCTAACTTAAATTTTTTTTATAGAAATGGTGTTAGTTCTATTTGGACAGACACTTGTTAAAGTCATTTATCATGAGATAAGTCATATCCATAGAAAGGCTGTGTTGTCTGTTTGATGGTTTGATTCTCTGACCACATCATACCCAAAGATGTTAAAAGATGCTGCTTGTTGATAGCCTGCCTGGTGCTCAGCATCATGGGATAATACACTGACTGGTCTGCTCCATGTTAGTATCATGTGTCTGATCATGGTGCCTTGCACACAAAAAAAACCCAGCCTAAGTCTAGACTACTACAAAACACCACATGTATGCGTGCATACACGTCATAGTTTATGTAAAATAAGCTTGAACGCAATGGTGAATGCCTTTTCACCTCATCTCGTGTTGACTCTGTGACTTACGTGGCTCACTGCTGTAGGAGGAGAAATACCTGCTCTGAATTTTATTTGGAAATTTAGGATATGTTGTGTCTGTTTGACACCTCAGTTATGATTCCATGTTAGTAACCTCATATTCATATTTTTGGTAGTAAGTCTATGATATCTTTTATAAAAATTACATGAAAATTGTCTGATACAAACATTTGAGCAATATATTGATATTTTGGTATCTACAAGTATAACCTTGATAATGTAACCACCACAACCACTGTCTGATCTGGAACTTTCTTTGAGACACTTTATGTGTTAACTAGGTCCAGGTTACCTCAGATAATTTGTGACATCGGTATTGTGGGCTCCCAACCTTTTTCAAAATCCCGAATCCTTCGTTGAGAAATATTGTGAAATAAATTTTAAATGTAATTATGAGATGAATACAGCAGGGGCCACCTTTTCTGCTTTGAGTTTCTTACTCTGCCACATGTATCATAAGATACGTTACTGGGTGATGGTCGTTATTGAGTCAGAAACTGGCTGGTGCTTTGAATGTCAAGGTCAGTGAAGGCCACATATTGGTGTGCTCTTGCTGTAAGAGGATGTAGAACATGCAACTGTCAGAAAGATTGTTGGAAGAATTTGTTTGGCAGCTGTTGAAGAGTGGAAAATAGATGCATTGTTCCATGAACATGCTTAGATGAGTTTCCAGTGACCATCAGTCAGCACTGTGTGTGGCTGTTGTAGATGGTGTTGGTTCATGTTGAGGGAGGGGATGTTCCTGATGGAGAAGATTCAGGATTTAACGATTGAGCTGGGTTTAGCCTCCATGGCTTAGGGCCCTGAGTACATGTGTAAATTAATTTGGTAAATTAATTTCTCATTCAATGCAAGAATAGATATAATCCAACTGTCATTTGAGCATTGCAATTGAAACAACAATTTTTAATTGATTATGTATTGGGTTTTAAAGAGGTCCTGGACAGGGCCTACACACTCAAATTTGAGATATAAGTCGGCAAAATGAGTACGTGACGCATGTGACTGTCTTAAGGAATGTTTTGGATTGTATGCTCCTGGCATAAATACAGGTTGTAAAAAAGATGGAATACTGTAGCATATTATATTTAACAACTCAGCGTAGTTCACTTACCGCACAACAGATTTCAAACACATGTGTTATTGATTGCCAACTCAAGGGAACAAAGAATTCTATTCTATTCTATTCTATCTGTGATATGCTTCAGTAAGTTTGTCTTGTGCCAGATTCAAATGAAATGACATTTAAAATAGCCATTTAATTAATTTACACTCTTGATCATAAACAATTCTCTGCTAAGTTAGTGATCAGCAGTTACAAAAATTTTAATTGAAAAAGGCCAAGACGGTATTGATAAGAGACATTGAGATAGCCATATCATTAATATGATAGATTGTATGTAAACTACACTTGATGATAAATCTGAAATGTGCTGCATTAGCAGGAACTGGAATTCCTTGTTTACACCTGCAGATCTGTGTGGGATGTTATCATAGTTATACCTGGCACAGACTCAACTGATATTCCAGGAGAACGCCGCTAAAAGAATGCGCCATAAATAGTTGTGTCTGCCTACGCAAACACAAGTTCATTTGCTGGATGTTCAGCTATCGCCAAAGCAATGTGGCTGTGTTTTTGCCGATATTTAAACTGTTCATTAAGAAATAACTTGCTGATACAGTTTATAGGTTTCTATCGTTAGTGATAAGTCTGAGCATTTACTGCCTGCTTGTGATGGCCTCAGGCACAGCGTTGGAGGCCTCTATACACTCGTCTGTGAATGCCTCCACAAATACTGTCATGTCTGACATTAAGTTTTGCTTTTTAACCCTGTAACTAGATTCTTCTAAAAAATATAGTTTTTAACGCTATTTGTAGCGTAGCCTCAGCGATTGCTTTGAACATGTTTACAAATGTCTGAGTCGAGTTGATTGAAACAGAATGTGTTATTTCTTGAGTATGTCTTTGATACTTGATGTTAGAGATTGGGGACTTGTATGACTCTTTCTTTGAGATACAGAGAAATTCTCCTGTAATAAAAAGCATCAGTCACAAATCACTTCCGAAACATGACTGACAAAATGGATCAGATGATCATGATGTTGACGTCGACGACAACTATGATGATGATGGTTTTCTGACAATGAAATAGGCTCTTGGAGGTGTTACAACCATGTGGGTTTCCAGTGAAATCGTGCTGGCCAGATTATTGGGGATTGGGATGCAGATCATATCTAGCTCCCAGAACTGTCTGTGAACTGAGAAGATGAATCATACCTCACATCCACTGAGACACATATCTTGGTCCAACAGCAATAGTTTACAGTTTAATATTCAGTAGGGAAGGGAAGAAATTTGGAGCTGATAAGACTTCATTTTCCTAAAAGCCTGCAATATTACCTAGGTAATAAAAATAAATTGAAATAGTTTCCTGCTTTATAAACAGTGATGTTCATGAAAGAAATATTATCTTGGTGTACTAAATATATCACGAACTGGACATGTGATGAGAGATTGTGAGTGACATGTTTGGATACACTTTCGCTGCCCTCTAGTTTCATGAAACGCTTTACAAACCTTGGTATCTCAAGATATAAATAGCGGCATTGAGCCAGACTGGAAGAAGTATCTGTTTCCAGTTTGTATACTACACACACTTTGCTAAGGATCACAAAAATTCACAACTTTACTTAACCGTAGATTTATAATTTGAAATTGTATCTGTTTATAACTGGATAAATAATACTATAGTAACCCATCTTTAGGCAAACAGTCAATTTATTCTAACCTAGTGCACTTGATACATGAGTAACCATAAAAATGGTTTTCATGGCACCAACTATTTTGCAAATCATGGAACGAGTCATTGGCAAATAAACAACACCTGCCAATAGCAGGTATGGCATCCACAAGATGCAATGACATACTGAAACCTAGGATCCATGCTTACAATAAGTTTAGATATTTAAACCAAATTCGACCCCACATCATAGTTTTCTGTAGAATCCATGATTTGATCCTTAGCAAAGTGTGAGTAGTATATATTACATAAAAAAGGATTTACCCCTGTTATTTTCACTTAAACAGCACAACCATCATTGTTATTTTTAATGATTTTGTCTACAGAACTTCAATGCTGCCCCCAAGCCTTTTGGGGCGCCATCTCCGGCCGCCCCTGCTGCTGCCCCTGCTGCTGCCCCCAGTTTCAGTAGCCCCAGTGTCAGTAGCCCCAGTGTCAACAGCCTGTCTCAGCAGACACAGAACATGAACATCTCAAGGTAGGTGCACCCGTCCGCATGTGACCTTCACAAGGGAGGTAACTCTTGAGTACTGGTAACCAAAGTTTGGGGACATTCACCGTTTATATTTTGAATTTTAGTATCAAGACTGTCAGAAAAATCAAATTAGGTTTCCAAGTACCGTATAAAATTAGGTTTCCAAGTACCGTATATTACCGTAGATAAGCCGTATAGGTATTTTAAAAACAAAATCATATTTGAATTCTTCTTTTGGCATAATCGAATATTTCATAGGGACATGACTGATATGGTGGCAGGGTGACTGTTGGAAATCACATGTAATTCAAACTGGTTGGGTATGAATGATATGTTTATAATGTATACAGATACAGCTTTGAATTTGATAAGTGAATTAATTATTAAGTGTGGAATGGCTTCTTGGTGGGAATCAAAATTCAACTGTTCAGTACACCACAGGGAAATGTCACATAATTGCTCATGAAAGTGTAGTTAGTTTGTTTGTTGTGATGGTTTTGCTGATTCTGCTGTTGAAAATTTGTTTAATTTTTGTTGGAACTAAAGCATGTCTTTTTGTTCGTGCCCTTTTGTTAAATATGCTACTAATAGACTAATTACAATGCTGAACAAAACAAAATGATAAATTATTTACTAATGAGGCATTATTTTATGATTATTTCTTTTCAGTATAATTCTAAAATTATATTATGCGATGTTGGTGTTGTCTAAACTGTTACATGAACACAAAGTGCTAACTGAGGTTATTGATCAAAGAAGTCTAATGTGTATAATCCTGCTGTTTTCATTAGGCTAACTGTATTTGCCATTAGGCTAACTCACACTGAGCATCCAGACAAAGTCACGTGACTGGATGATTCTAACCAAGATCGAGGCTAACACGTAGGCAAGAATACTTATTTGATGTAGTTACTTACCATCTCAAACAAAATGTAACCAATCAGCTACCATGGCGACAAACATATTAATCAAATTTATGGCTTTTGTATTGAAATGTTTTGTAATCATCTATAATTTCAATGTTGTGAAAACTGATACCTGGAAGATTAAAATTTATACTTTCATAGCTGCCTTTGTGTATATCAGTGTCTACTGTAGTTATAAAGAAAGCATAGTGCACAAATCATGGAGCATGGCTTATGTAGTTATATATTGTTATACTTATATGTTACATTATCAGTAAGAGTAACATGTAGTGTTGGAAGTACAAATGAAAAATCAGTTAACAACAACCGACATAAAAATGTGTAAAAATGACACTTTTGTTACAATTTCAGCGATCTGGGACCCATTTCACAGGCAATCGTAGCGCCAAGGTTATCGTAACTCCCATACTTTAACACAGGCTTACGATAGTCGTTAGCGCCAAGGTTATCGTAACTCCCATACTTTAACACAGGCTTACGATAGTCGTAGCGTTATGATCACTTTGTGAAACGGGCCCTAGGTCCGTTTTGGTAGATGTTCAAACACTAAGCATGTAAACAAGGGTTATTGTCTGACTGTATATTGCTGCTTATGAAGGAACTATTTTGTGTGTGATACACAACTATTTCAAGGTCTTATATACCTTGTACAGTGTAGTTAGGGAATAAACTTCAATGCAAGCTGTGAATGAGTTTTGATGTCTCCTACCAGCAGCCAGACACCCGACTACCTTAACGCTGCACAGCGGTATACGGAGAGGGAGGCGGCGCCAGACCCCACACAGAACCAATCAAGATCTTTCAAATTTCTTCAAGGTCTCATGGACAGTGGACAAGGTGGGCCTGATACCAGCCATATCTCAAGGGAGATAACTCTCAACAGTTTCAATGTTTTCCATGAAAAATGTTGTGACCATGGCCATCAAGCTCCTTACAGTGATACATTATTCCCTGTGCTCCCAGTACTATATCTGCCACCATTCTAAACTTCTCACATTGCTCCTGATTGGAGTTAAACATGACTCAGCGACCAAGTGACAGATGAGCCTTGAAAAATGTATGCCTGATAGCTGTCAGTCTGTCAATTAATTTGTTTGTTTGTCAAATAGAAATCCAATTAAAATTTAAGAACACAGACAGTGTGAGAAAATGTAAGGGATAACTGGATGCTATGAATCCTGAATGAGTCTTTGGAAAACTACTTCAGACAAATGGCCTCAGTCTGTCAATTATTTTGTTTGTTTGTCAAATAGAAATCCAATTAAAATTTAAGAACACAGACAGTGTGAGAAATTGTAAGTGATAACTGGATGCTATGAATCCTGAATGAGTCTTTGGAAAACTACTTCAGACAAATGGCCTCAGCTAATGGACAATTCACAAGTTGACAAATATCACCGGTTTGATAGATAGATTCTGGTAAAGACAACCACCTCAATGGTGGCAGTAATAATGCTGGGACAGTAAGAAGATGTTATGCACTACAACGGAGTTTGATCAACCATGACGCAAGGGAGATAACTCAACTTTTAAATAGTATATATTCATTTTGAAATTTCTTTAAGTTGAATGTAAGTAAAGTAGTGATGTTCTTTGTTCAATGCACACATTCTCAAATGTTGCGGACCTCGTCTAGTTTTGTGGTAATATGATGGCAACGGCAATAAGTGCCAAAAGTGTCATATCCAGAAAGAAATTTCAAAAGCTAAAACATCTGGGTATATAAATATCATGATGTCTTAAGACTCCAATAGGCAGCGATCATTTGTTCCTTCATTGCAACCTTTCCCAACTTTGCATTCTAGATAAAATTAGATCCCTTGAGTTAATGCTGACCAGCTGCGTCGCATTGCATTTGTTTCTCATGCATCCTCTCACAAGTTCATCTGGTTCTGCAGACATGTTTACAGACTGCCATGAATTAGCTGGAATATTACTGATGTGGCAGAACAATATTCACACTCGCTTGTGGCCAACCTTTAAGAGTCTCATACATGAGCAGTGTTTGAAATTAAGTATGGAAGATTCAGGGACTCCTATAACTTCAAATGCTATAGGAGCAAGGACCTTGGTGCCTACCTTACTTTCTAACACTGCAAAAGTGACCATCCATTTAATGTTCTTGGAGGGATTTGATTTTTTGCTTTAATACACCTCAATGTCATCCAATATTTTTATTATCATTTTACTAGTTTTTTTTTGTGCTTTGTGAAAAATTATTTTTGGCGACAAATCACTTTTTACAACAAATACCAATTTTCTCCTTGGAATATGAAATGGATGGTCCTTGAATGTCATTTAGCCTCCACCCATAGAATCCTCACTTCATCATGCCTGCCAACTCATCCACCCACCCTTTCAGAAGCCCCCACGGCCTTCGGACAGCCCCCTTCGGGAGACACGCCTGGCGCGGCAGGCTCCTCCCAAGGGAAGGTCAAGGCTATCATGGCGTAGAAATATAACAACCCCATTGGACTATATTCAAACACCAATGTGGAGAGAGAACTCGAAGGACAGTCTAAATTCTTGGTCAAAGATCCCAGCGGGTAAATCTTCTATGATGTTATGTTGTATCTGGTGATAATGTCAGTGGCGATATTTCAGTTCAGTTGAAATCATTCAAACTGACAAGTGGAAGGAGTGTATTGTCTTGGTGTTGGATTAGCTTTGGAGAATGTGAGGAAGGATGTTTCTAAATAGTCAATAATGTCTGTGCTGTATACAACATAGTAAGTTCCTGAGAATAGCCCTGTTGTTAAAGGATAAGGCACTGTCTTTTAAAAATCTCCATGACAGGGACTATGCTGCCCCAAAAGTGGCCCAGTCTTTTAGGTTTAACAAATGTCCCTCAGCGGTGGCAGGATTCATTGTCTGACGTCGGAATCCCAGAATTTAACCCCAGGTATAGTCCTTGATCTGTCATTGCCATAGTTGTGTTTATTGGTTTCAAACGAGTTGTGAACCTCTACAATCTTTGTTCTTTCTTCATTAAGCTAATTGTAAAGATATCAATTAGGCACTGTTCAAACTGATGTGAAGCCCAACACACTCACTCACAGCAGGTCAGGTTTTATGTCGCTTTTGCAATACTTCAGCAACATTGCAGGGGTCACCAGGAATGGTCTTCACACGTTGTACCTAAATGGGAAATGATGAACATTTAGATAATCCACTGCCCCTTACAGCATTGAGAGGAATGGGTTAGGGTCCTTAATATTTTAACTTCAGCACCTTTTGATAAAGAAGTTGCTAGAACAACTAGGCTGCCCACTACCCCCTGCCCCCCTACAGCACTGAGTAGAATGGAGTCAAGATCGTAAATAAGTTGATTGTGGCCCTTTTGAATGTAGAAGTTGTAAGTCACAGAACTCCAAACAACCTGACAGCAAGAACTGTACACCCGGGAATCTCTGTATATGTCCAGATATTCACTGTCTCATTGGCCTTGTATTTCAGACCAATGGGCAGCAGCTGAACCTGTCCAGGCTTGGCGCAGGTATACTCGCCTTGCAACTGATAGGTCGCCTGTGTGCAGTGTGGTGCAGGTCATGTGACCTGTTCTGCTCTTTCCATTGGTTGATCAGGCGTTTAGTATTTGTTAGAATCCTATAGGAAACTGTGTTGTGTTGGGGTTGATGTGTCTCACTGTTGGACATTATAGAATCTAGCACGCTCCAGGTAGAATGATTGATGAGTCTTCTCATTAGGTGAATTGTATTGCATCGTCTTTGTGATGAGTATGACTGAACATATACTGAGGGGAAAAAATAAGGTATCACATGAAACCACAAGTGTTCCTTTATTTGTTTCAAGGTTTCTTCACAAGTTGTACGATACAACGCTTGTGAAGAAACCTGGAAAAAAATAAAGGAACACTTGTGCTTTCTTGTGATCCCTTATTTTTCCCCTCAGTATATAAGACTGGTGTGTTATATATTCATGACTGAATTTCAGTGAATTCCATGATTGAATGATACATATGATTTTCATGTGACTTGTATTTTTCTGTATAGCTGAAACTAAAACCTCCATAACGTGATCAAATAGTTTTCATCATGCATTAGTTATGTGCTATTGGCTCATTGCAACATTTCATTCAGATGTTCGAATGATGAAGTTTGAATGTATTTATGAGTTTTCAGCATGCAGAGTGTGAAATCCTGTTAATACCATACCAATAACACACACCCCCATTAACCTGTAGGCTAGAACTTTATTCAAACCCCATGTATTCAATGATACTATTAACGTATTCTACGATATATGTATTGAATCCTCATTAGATTTATATCAGTTTGATCTGTCTGTCTGCACTCTTTCAATGTATAAAAATGCACAACTTGTATGTTTATATTGAAAGCACCTTTAGAGATGAGAAGTTTGTAGGGGAACGCAGCAGTCAGTTTTTTGTCACATTCTTTGGAGTAGCAAAAAGTTAATAACATTTGGTGTATTACAAATTTTAACATGGGATGAATGTGTTTTTATGATTACTATTTCCCAAAATGATAGTTGCGGGGAATTTAAGCTTCAGTCAGATGTTTATTGCAGTGTCATGATGTGTTAAACCTAGTATGAGGTGTGTTTCAGAGTGATATTGTTCATGGCATGGAATGATGACTTGGCATGATATGCATGGAGTGTCCTCTTTCAGGAACGATGAACCGTCACCAGCACCAACTTTGGGCAGAACTAACGGTACATCCACCGAAAATAATTCCCAACCTGAAAACCGTGTATATTATCCTTCTGAAACGTATAAATTGGTTCAGGAGGAGGAAAACAAGCAAGAAAAGGGGGATCAGAGATTCAAACCTGCACAATCTCGGTCACTCAAAATGTTACAGGACCAACTGGAGAGGTATGGTAATGAGGGGCAGTCGAGGTCATGGTCACGCATAAGGGGGACAATCGCTGTGGGACAGTGGGAACATGGGGCAAGGGAGACAACTCATGTAGAATTAGACATAATATAGATTAAGGTCTGAAAAAACCTGATAATTTATGATTGAAATAGGAAAAGGAAAAGCAGTCAAACTGGTAGATATGTTTTTTTAATCAGTTATTGGTATTATTCAGTCTTCTATACAATACATACTTAGTTTATACAAGACTGTAAAATACTGATGATGTATTTGCCAGTAATAAAAAATTTGAAATTTATTGAAATCGTTTGTTTGAGTCAGTGGTATTTTGTGGTGATTTAATGTAATAAACTAATCTTATATATTTTGTATACATTATAGTTCTGTTAGCAGTCAAAAACAAGTTAATTTACAAATTTAAGAAATCAGTTATTTTTGTTATTACCTGTATGTGGATATTTTTAGCTCCAACTTTACCATCACCCGTCATAGACCAGCCAAGTTAAATCGATGATATAATATATTAGATTCCCATCCCCATTGTAAAAAAATATTGGGAGGGGGATTTTACATTTTGTAACCCACTGTAAGATGAGATAGAGAACTTACCAATACTTGTATCCTTGTATGTATGTACTGATCACATTGTATATGTAATTCATAATATTATTCTCATTGTATTAACTGTTAATGGATGTGATTCTCTTGAAGTGTTCATCTTTGGTGATACAATGTGTATAGGGTGGGTCATCATGAAAACAAAAAGGTAGTGCTTGTACTAATACTCTTTTTGATACGTGGACCAATATGATGATGTTGGGGGTACCGGTATGTCAAAGAAAATCCCAAAATGTAATACAGCCTAAATCTGTAGAGTAGGAAGATCTGGAATAAGACAAAGGAGGCCCAGTTAGTTTGAAAATGTGATTAAGCTGCTCATTTCAACCATCAGTGATTATTGTGATTAAGTCTGTGAATATATTTTGCTATTGTTTAACATATGGAACATGTTGGAATAATCACATATAATGACATAGTTTAGCATTATGTGCATGAGATATTAATCTGTTCTGCTCCAAGCCTACTAATAGTAGACTAGCGATTAGTTGTAGACAAACAGTACTTGTGTATGTCTTTACTGTGTTATAACTGTTTACGTCTTTGCACTTTAACAATGTACTGTGGGTCAGAACCCTCCTTTAATGGATATACATGTAGTAATACTCTGAATTGTTTTTGTGAAATTAGAAATTAAAGTCTTCCTTTCAGATGAAACTATTTGTTTTGCTGAACACTTTACATTGCATGTACCTGTTGTTGATTGTTTGTTTGTTTGTTGTTTACAGCGGTGGAGGAGTAACACCTGGACAGGCAGCTGGAGGAGGTACGTTGGGTGTTGGCGTGTTGGGAGGGTGATCTGCATTGGTAGGGTGATCTGCGTTGGGAGGGTGATCTGCATTGGGAGGGTGATCTGCGTTGGGAGGGTGATCTGCATTGGTAGGATGATCTGCATTGGTAGGATGATCTGCATTGGTAGGATAATCTGCGGTGCGAGGGTGATCTGCGTTGGGAGGATAATCTACGTTGGGAGGGTGATCTGCATTGGTAGGATAATCTGCGTTGGGAGGGTGATCTGCATTCGGAGGGTGATCTGCATTGGGAGGATAATCTGCAATCTGCATTGGTAGGGTGATCTGCGTTGGTAGGATAATCTGCGTTGGGAGGGTGATCTGCATTGGGAGGGTGATCTGTGTTAAAGGGATAAATGGATTGTTAATATAGGTTATCTACTGATGGATGAATGAGAGATTTGCAAATGGATGGAAGCATGTTGAGACAGAAGGAATAGACTCCACATCTCCCGGACAGATAGGATATGTGGATGAGTGGACGATGACCAGAATAGAAGTCCAGAAACATTTTGTCACCATTGAACACAGAAGTATTTTCTCTCTTCAGCCAAACACTCTGGATGGGCTCCACCTAAGCCAGCCCCAGGCCCAGCCCCAGCCCCAGCCCCAGTGCCGGCCAGTACCCCTGCTGCCAAGCCATGGGCCCCCTCAGCCCCTGCACCACCACCTCTTGGCCCAGCCAAGGGGGCACCCATGGGAGGACCTATGGGAGGACCCATGGGAGGACCTATGGGAGGACCTATGGGAGGACCTATGGGAGGACCTATGGGCCGAGGCCCTGTGCCCAAGCCTACCGGCAAGGGAGCAACAAAGTTTAAAAAGGGTGATGCTGTGGTGCGCCAACAGGGAGCAACTGGAGCTGACATTCCCAGAGTGGCCACCTGTGCCCAGTGCGGGAATACCATTAGGTAAAGATTTGACACCTTATTGCTTACACAAACTTGTAGTTTTAAACAACTCTAAAGTTGTGAAATAACCTTTGTTTGAGTTTTATTTTGAAATCCTCGGTACAAAGATCAGCATGAATTGTTTCAAATTTTAGTTTTTGAAGGGCCCAATCCATAAAGTGTTAACACACAATGTCATTTGTAAGCCTATGTTTAGCTATACTGTTACGATAGCTTGTAATACTACAGGCACTTCATGATTGGGATCCTGAACACTTATTACAGTACTTACAAACAAAATGTTTGAAACACAAGACTTGGTTTGTGTGTTCCAGAGGTCCATTTGTGGTTGCCATGGGCAAGACGTGGTGTCCCGATCATTTTATCTGTGCCAACCCCCGCTGTGGTGTCAAGCTGATTGACATCGGCTTCGTGGAGGAGGGCGGCTATCTCTACTGTGAGCGAGACTACGAGCTGTACTTTGCCCCCAAATGTACTAAGTGCAATGCTGCCATTGTTGGAGTAAGTTTTTATTATGTATACTACTCAAAATAAGTTGTCGAACACCCTTTTATAATATGACTGTTCTTGATGGCAACTGCAACTGTTGGGGGTGTTCTGCACGCGCTACCCATGTTCCGTACGTGTGCTGGCCGCACTACCCGTCTTGTGAGGAACACATGGTTCATACTGACAAACAATCTCATTCTTCAGTGATTCTTCGTAGCCTAGTGGATAAAACCGCCAAGCAAGTAAGTGAAGGGTTGCAGGTTCGAAACCACGCATCAGCACAATATATTGGATGTTTTCAATAATGTGATATTTTATTATCGTATTCAGTATTAGCAAGACTTATATCAATCTTCAAAAGATATCAATCTTCAAAAGGAGAAAAATAATTCAAAGTCAAGGGTTATTCCTAAAAAAAATTCCCTGGATGGGGGCAGTTTTGTAGAAAATCCACTGGATTTCTTGGAGAATGCCCGCGAAACTGCCTGTACAGGTTTACTTGGTAAAAGGAGACAATAATGTGACGTCACTGGAGGTTTATAAGTTTAAATCTTAATTGTTTTTGAAACCACACTTTCTTATGTTTTGTTATTTTCATGCTGTGTCTCATGTGGAAGTAGGTTTTGAGTATTGAATTGAGTTATTGCAGTTCAATGGTTTCTGTGTATAAGTTGTTAATTGAAATTCAGCTTGTCCAGTGTGGGAGCAAGGCATGAATTCTAAGCATTATTTCAGGAATTGTATAGATTTACTCACTAAGTGCTGAGGGGCGGAGTGGTAACCTAGTGGTTAAAGCGTTTGCTCATCACTCCGAAGACCTGGGTTTGATTCTCCACATGGGTACATTGTGTGTCGCCATTTTCTGGTGTCTCCCGCCGTGATATTGCTGGAATATTGCTGGACTATTGCTAAAAGAAGTGTAAAAACTCACTTACTCACTCACCAAGTGCTGAATGTACTGTGTTTTGTTTCCAGGAATGTGTGAATGCTCTGCAGAAGAGTTACCATCCTCAGTGTTTCCTGTGCTTCCAATGCAAGCAGCCCATTGGTGGAAACCAGTTCCACATCGAGGACGGAAACCCTTACTGTGAGAAAGGTGAGTCAGGGCCCAGCATGTCATTGGGAGAGGGGATTCAAGGTGATATAGGTTCCATGGATGTTCCAGGACAGACTAGGTCCCCAGTACCCCATGCTTGTCTCCCAATGGAGATTCCAGGACAGACTAGGTCCCCAGTACCCCATGCTTGTCTCCCAATGGAGATTCCAGGACAGACTAGGTCCCCAGTACCCAATGCTTGTCTCCAAATGGAGATTCCAGGACAGAATAGGTCCCCAGTACCCCATGCTTGTTTCCCAATGGAGATTCCAGGACAGAATAGGTCCCCAGTACCCCATGCATGTCTCCAAATGGAGATTCCAGGACAGAATAGGTCCCCAGTACCCCATGCTTGTCTCCCAATGGAGATTCCAGGTCAGACTAGGTCCCCAGTACCCCATGCTTGTCTCCAAATGGAGATTCCAGGACAGAATAGGTCCCCAGTACCCCATGCTTGTTTCCCAATGGAGATTCCATGGGACAGAGTCTAGGTCCCCAGTACCCCATGCATGTCTCCCAATGGAGATTCCAGGACAGTCTAGGTCCCCAGTACCCCATGCATGTCTCCAAATGGAGATTCCAGGTCAGACTAGGTCCCCAGTACCCCATGCTTGTCTCCCAATGGAGATTCCAGGACAGACTAGGTCCCCAGTACCCCATGCTTGTCTCCCAATGGAGATTCCAGGACAGACTAGGTCCCCAGTACCCCATGCATGTCTCCCAATGGAGATTCCAGGACAGAATAGGTCCCCAGTACCCCATGCTTGTTTCCCAATGGAGATTCCAGGACAGACTAGGTCCCCAGTACCCCATGGTTGTCTCCCAATGGAGATTCCAGGACAGACTAGGTCCCCAGTACCCCATGGTTGTCTCCCAATGGAGATTCCAGGACAGACTAGGTCCCCAGTACCCCATGGTTGCCTCCCAATGGAGATTCCAGGTCAGTCTAGGTCCCCAGTACCCCATGCTTGTCTCCCAATGGAGATTCCAGTCTAGGTCCCCAGTACCCCATGCTTGTCTCCCAATGGGTCCCCAGGTCCCCCCCATGCTTGTTTCCCAATGGAGATTCCAGGTCAGTCTAGGTCCCCAGTACCCCATGCTTGTCTCTCCCAATGGAGATTCCAGGACAGTAATCCCAATGGGTCCAGGTCCCCAGTACCCCATGTTGTCTCCCAATGGAGATTCCAGGTCAGTCTAGGTCCCCAGTACCCCATGCTTGTCTCCCAATGGAGATTCCAGGTCAGTCTAGGTCCCCAGTACCCCATGCTTGTCTCCCAATGGAGATTCCAGGTCAGACTAGGTCCCCAGTACCCCATGGTTGTCTCTCCCAATGGAGATTCCAGGTCAGTCTATGGGTCCCCAGTACCCCATGCTTGTCTCCCAATGGAGATTCCAGGTCAGTCTAGGTCCCCAGTACCCCATGCTTGTCTCCCAATGGAGATTCCAGGACAGTCTAGGTCCCCAGTACCCCATGCTTGTCTCCCAATGGAGATTCCAGGACAGTCTAGGTCCCCAGTACCCCATGCTTGTCTCCCAATGGAGATTCCAGGTCAGACTAGGTCCCCAGTACCCCATGCTTGTCTCCCAATGGAGATTCCAGGACAGTCTAGGTCCCCAGTACCCCATGCTTGTCTCCCAATGGAGATTCCAGGACAGACTAGGTCCCCAGTACCCCATGCTTGTCTCCCAATGGAGATTCCAGGACAGTCTAGGTCCCCAGTACCCCATGCATGTCTCCCAAAGGAGATTCCAGGTCAGTCTAGGTCCCCAGTACCCCATGCATGTCTCCAAATGGAGATTCCAGGGCAGTCTAGGTCCCCAGTACCCCATGCATGTCTCCCAATGGAGATTCCAGGACACACTAGGTCCCCAGTACCCCATGGTTGTGTCCCTGTGCAAATTTTAATGAAGAATTAGGCCTATTGAATAGACGCTCTAAATTTGTTTGGCTTAAGTTTTGTAAGAGCTACTGTGTATTCATGACAGGATAATCATTCAGGACAAATTTTCACATTTTCATCCATATAATTGTTTTGTCCGTAGATTGGAACGCCATGTTCCAGACAATGTGCTCTGGGTGCAGCTTCCCCATTGAACCCGGCGACAAATGGGTTGAGGCCATGGGCAAGAACTTCCATTCAGAATGCTTCAACTGCTCGGTGAGTTACCTCCCTTTGTATGCTGTTCATAACCAATGCCAAGTTTGTCTCGCTGTGCTTTTAAGAGTAATTTTGAAAATATGAATAAATGTATGTATGTCAAAGCTTTATTAATTTATACTTGATGACTTCTTTTTCTTCAAGTAACATTACATGTTTTTTGCGCTTTGTTCTGTATGGGGTAATATTAACCTGCAGCTTATCTCAAACAACTCATTACATAAGGTTATATTTGGAGTATTTCTTAAATTTGAATACACAGAATTTGTCTGAGGAAATGTTTAGCTTGATTTGAGGTGGACTTTTCATCATACGTCTGCTAACTTTCTGTCACTCTTTCTTTTTCAGACTTGCCAAATTAGTTTGGAAGGTGCTCCTTTCTATGTCAAGGCTGGAAAGCCCTTCTGCAAGAAACATGTACGATAGAACAACACTGGAAGATACAATAATTATTCTGACAATACAACTGTTGACTAATAAGTAAAGATAAGTTCTGGCTGAAGGACTGGGTTATTCCACGGACGATGGTTTGCGGTGCCTTGTGGTGAAATGGATAGCTAGCTAGGGTCTTGGTTTTCACTCCATCCTCATTTCAATAATTCCTTTTTAGCCAATAAAACATCATGTTACTGTGTGCCTTGATTATATAAGCATACAGTTTATATAAATATCTTTTTGAAATGCATAAAATATGCATAAAATGTCAAGTGTTTTTTTAACATGTAGTCCTGATTTGGAGTCTTTGATCTTTTCCTGTCAATAAATGGATATTTTTCAAATTCTATAGTTTGATACTGTTTTACACATACATGTGAAAGAAGTAGGAATTGTGAAGTTTTATTATAATAAAATTGAAAAAAATGAATTAGTATGCATGTTTGGCAATAAGTCTTGAATAAATGAGATTTCTTGTGTATGAATGACATTTGTTAGGTTGTTATTTTTTAATAACTGTTCGCATATATCTGTTGATATATCTCCTGATTTGAATATTGAAAGGTGTCAAAAGATATGAGTATTTGGACTTATCTCAGAGAATGAATATCTTTAAAAAGCGAGATAAAAAAGCACAAGGCACAATCTGTTAATCTGATTGGTTAATTCAGTCTTTGTGTGCAGAATGTGTATATAAACCAATGTCTAAATCTGTGGGATTAGCCAAATGTAACATTGAAATATGTTTTAGGAGAAAAGTATCTTCTTTGTGTGCCTTGTGATCTTGTTTGCTACAAACTGCCATAACGCTTCTTCACCAATGAAACAGCCATTCAACTTAAGTTGTGTTTCGTAAGTTAAAAAATGAAGCATACAATAACATACCAAATTTTGTATCGCCTAGTAACCCAAGTAACCGTCAACATTAACATATCATTTGCCTGGTTTTAGAGATATATATATTAGTTCCTGTGGTATATAAACCATATATCCGTGTTTGATTAATTTTAAAAGTTATGAATTACTGTGTTCTAGGCATAAGTTAATCATATTTATCTGATATATGAATATTTCTTGAGATCTCATGTTATATGCTAAATGAAAAATAACGTTATTTCTGTGGATGCATTTGCATAATTTTCATATACCAGCATTAAAGAATTAAATATTTTGTCCAATGTGAATTGTGACATTTTTTTTTTATTGTGGGGGTGGGGGGGTTTGTTGTGTTTAGAAAGAGAGTTTATTGTTTCAAAATTTCCATATGCGTCGTGTTGAATGAATATCTTAGGATCTAATTAATAGTATGAAGTTTTAAATGACTTGTGAATATTCCACATTCATATGCTTCAATGTGTAGTTTGAGTTCTGCGTACAAACCTATGTGTAATTACTGTATATATATATATATGCTGTTGACACCTATTCTTACCTCCCCTGCATAATGTCTTCACTTGTGTATATAGGCCTTGTAGATAGTTGTCGACTCTTCTCTTCTTGCTTTCTATCAGGGTCTCTACAATATATGCAAATCTTGTATTTTTAACCTATTTATATAGATATATTGTACAAAGATTATACAATGTTGATATACAAATTTCTAAGTAATTTATGACTTTTTTAAGTTTGCCTCGAGCAATATGTACAATTTTTATGACCTTTGCAAGAAATACTATTTTCTTACAGCCTTTTCGATCATCTTTTCTGCTTGAGTTCAGGTGGCCTAAATTTAAAAGACATATGCAATTTTGAAATGATTTTCAACTTAATATATGTATGCCAAAACATTTTTGTACGATTTATTGATTTCATTTATCATCTAAAGAAATGGTCACACAAGTGGAACTAGTAGCTAGGAACACAGTATGTTGTGACAGCAGAGGTGTGACTGTTTCAATATGGATGCCATTAGAGCAGGTTTTACACTTGCAACAATTCCCTTGTGTTGGACTTTTGTCAGTTTAGCACCTCAGTTTTTCATAATGCTGTATGAAATGTTACAGTTGTTATAGTCCAAATATTTTCCTGAAATTTTCACCTTGTTTTTGGCTATTACCCAAATGTTTGCCTAAACCTGTGCATGATTTGCACCGAAGAATGAAAAGAAACTTTTATGACATGGGTTTATGGAATGAATCTCCTTCAAAAATAAAATCATTTCCATGCATTATGTGAGGGGTTTATCAAACACTCAAGCACATGTGTTCTCAAGGATGGTATATAGTACCCATTGTTTGCTAAGGAACACACCTTTGACTATACGTGACTGGTCTTTAACAAGTGTTGGGTAGTATAAATGAAAGTCGTGCATATGGATGTAGTGATGAAAAATTACATGAACAGAGACAAGTTGCAGAATTATTACAGAGGATTTGACATGAATCTGAATATGTCAGAAATGGGTGGAATCTTGACAGAAAATTATTCATGAAAGATGATGTAGTGTACGATTTGCCTGAAGTCATCTCAATGAATATTTTGCATGGTACTCAAGGGGTTGGTGCAGTATAGGAGATATTGCATGGAGGTTGATGTGTTACTGAATATATCACACAGAAGCAATTGCGTTATTGAATATATCGCCAGGAAACTGATGCGTTATTGAATGTTTCGCAAAGAAGTTGATGCGTTATAGAATATATCGCCCCTAGAAGATGTTATATAAGGCTTGCTCTGTTGTATACATTGCATACAGTGTATATATATAGTCCACATGATGAATATACCTTGACATGATGGTAGTACGAAGGGCTGTTTTGTTTGTTTATTTTAAATCTTGAGTTTGATCCCATCTGTGTGGCTACATAGGTGAACACACCCAGATATAACATTGAGATCCTCGTGTTTGGATGCAAATTAATACTGAACTGTCCTTGAACAGAACTCCTTGTAATATTTGATAGTTACTTTCCAACCATATCATGTTCCGAGTAATAAACGCAAGGAATAATATGATTACGTGTTGTATTATCTTTTCTTGTGAAATGAGTGGATGCTGCAATGGGATTGGTTGAAAAAAAAGGTGTTGAATGGAGTTCCAATTTTGGTGATATTTTTAAGTATTCACTATGTGTAATATTTTTTGATTGATGGGATGGTACCATCCCCAACGACCAGGGAATTTTATTTCATCATATACTAAGCAGCAAAAGAAACGTCAGTTTGGAATTTTCCTTCGCAGAAGCGGATAACTGTAAACTCATTTTATGTTTTGATTGTATATTTTTGACATCTCCAACTTTACCTGAGCAAAGACATTTCTTCCCAAACTCAGGAAATGGTCTCCAAAACGCAACCTGATCTCGGAGATGGTACGGTGTTCTCCATGTTTTTCATGCAACTCATGCTGCACCTGCTGTTCACAAGGACCAGCCCTATAAAATGCACCCCAAAACCTGGTTGAAACATTCACATTACAATGTCAGCATGATGCTGCGACTCATGGCAGCTCAGAGGAACCAGGCGCTAGGAAGACTTGAAGCTGGCTACACTATACAAGCCGTTGCCAATCACTTCCAGGTCAACTTTCGGACCATCTACAGGCTAAAGCAACGTTTCTGGACCACCAACACTACAAATGATCGCCCCTGTACTGGCAGACCAAGGGTGACCACAAGACGACCTGACCGTGGACCTATCCTCACCCCTCGTCATTGGCATGAACGTCTATAGTTTGCCTTAGAACACCAGAACTGGCGATACAGGCAATGGAGAACTGTTCTGCTCACAGATGAGAGTCGGTACTACGTATCAACTGCAGATGGCAGAACAAGAATATGGCGACGACATGGCCAGCGTTACTCAGACCAATGTGTTATGGAAAGAGACTCATGTGGAGGTGCAAGCATCATGGTATGGGGTGGAATAGGCCTGAACCAGAGAGTGGGTCCTGTGGTGTTCCAGAACCTTGGTCCACGGGGAGGAGGCTGCATCACAGCGGTGTGCCATATCGACCAAGCTCTCAGACCCCACGTCATACCACATTTTGCACGTCACCGGAACAACATTTTCCAGCATGAACGCCCAGAGTGTGGTTCAAGGTGCCAATGGCCTTCATCAATCGATTGGTGCACTCCATGCATAGACGCTGTGCTGCAGTTATTGTCACGTCGTGGTCACACTAGATACTGAAGTCAAGGGTCTGAATGGACTGCAAACGTTCATGTAATGTCTTGAAATTGTGCTGAGTTATTCATTGATGTGTCAAGATATTGTGCACAAAAAATGTTTTTGATCTGCTTCGTATGTCCATTTCTGTAATGATTTGATTACAGTGCCTGTCTATTTTTGAATTCGTACTGACAGGTTTTTTTTGCTGCTGAGTATATATTAAATACTGTGAGCTATTCAGCAGCCATAATGCACAACAATCTGCTGTCCTCTATAATCTGTGAAGTCATAGATTAATCAAACGAAATGGTTAAATCTATAGATTTGTCCATGAAAGTGGGTAATTGTTGTAGTTCAGGACAAAATTTGATTTGATTAAGGATTTGTTACACCATAGTGTCCACAACTAGAACACCTACAATAATCAGAATAAATGCAGTTTACAAGCATTCTGAACCTAACTAAAAGTTACAAAACCCATTCCACATTCATAAGAAATCCCTGCTAAAAGCAGTGTTGATTGTACAATTCTAACTATACTCAACAACAAAAGTTAAGGACCACCCCAATTTTCAATATTAAGTATTTAATAGTTCATATTATGATCCATATAATACTTACATATTGAATATTGGTATGGTGCTTAACTATTTTTGATGAGTATATATTATGAATATGTGTTTGCTTGCTTGTTCAAGGCATCCTAAACAATGTTGCAGCTGTATAGGGGTTGTCTGTTAATACTGGAGTCCTACAACCCAGTGATTGTCATGAGATACGATGGCAGAGCATGTGTTCGCCCTGAATGAGTGATGACACCAGGTGTTCGCAAATGAAATGACCGTATCCTGTTCCATCAGAGGCAATCATCCAAACATTAACAAAGGCTAGACAATATATCTGAAAATATTTGTGAAAGTATGGAACACGTCAAAGAAAGGAATGGAATGGCATCTGACATAATTTTTGTTACAGATGCATCACATTTTGTAATGTCCTCTACATGACTACCATAAAACGTTTCGAAAGCTTAACTACCTTTAAGCACTGATCATGTAATAGTCTATTATATGGTCTCTGCTTAAAGTTGTTTAGTTAAATGTTTTTGGAAGGAAACAGCTCTCAGTGGGGACTTTTTTCGAGATTCATTTATACTAAAACGAAAAAGGACATCTATTTATCGTGCAGGGTGTGGAAAGCAGGCACAACGACCGAAGTCATCCTCAATATCTCCAGGGCTCGCATTTCGGTAAACCAACACTACCTCTTGGAGAAGGGGTTCTCTCGTTTTACATCACACGGTGTAGGTTTACAGAAATGCTAAATCTGGAATAACCTGTTCCACAGTCCCTTTCTGGAAGATAACCGCCAGTTTCACTCAGCCCTTACTGAAATGCTAGACCCCTGAACGAAGCAAGCAGTTTCTATGGAGTTCTTTGTTTCTATCAATGTGTATTTTTAGAGACGACATATTAGTCTTGCCCCGGGATCTAGAGGATGAACAGAAATATAACACAATGAGGAATGTGACAGTGTAACTGTTGCTATGTAACAAGGGTGAGCTGAGTTGAGTTGGGCTTTACGTCACATCGGCATTATTTCAGCCATATAGCGACGAGAACAAGTCTGCAACAAGGGTGAGAAGACATTGTTCGGTTGAAATATACTCAAAGGCAAAAGTTAGATATGAGTTAACACTGATGTGTTTATGATTAGACTTTTTAATATTGCATGAAAATCATTCCACAATAGGATCGCCAGACGCTTTTCCCACAGTGAAGGAACGGTCAAAATGAAATTCACAGTCAATAACGTGTATGTCCACCATGGTCATTGATGTATGTTTGACACCTGCTTCTCATAGGAAGATATCAAGCAGTAAAAAGCAATAACTATCTTTCACAAAAAGTGCAACTCAAATATGGCGTCCCTCAAGGTTCTGTCCTCGGACCCCTGTTATGTACAGCTGTGAGCCACATATCAACAAAGTCTGCCAGAAAGCTTACCTTATTATCAGAAATATCAGCCAGATCAGGAAATAAATTGATAACGAAACTGCAGCAATGTCAGTCAAGTCCTGTGTCTTATCACACCTGGACTATTGTAACGCTTTTCTGTTTGGTCTCCCTAAACGTCTCATCAACAAGCTACTGCATGCTCAAAGTTCAGCCGTAAGACTCACTACAAGGACAAGAAATTTGGATAACAAAGCCTAATTCTCCGTCAACGCCTATAATGAACTGATAAAAGAGCACTCCAGCCATCATCCTTGCTAATTAAACCTATCTGCTGTGTATTCTTTGACCTGCCTCATCACAGTTGGCTTCCTACTATTGTTACTGCATAATTACCCATATTCACTGTTGTTGTTTCCTTACCCCCTCTTTATACATACCCTCATGTTGTCTTACTTAATCCCTGTTACATGTATATAGGTCGGTTCTGTGCTCTATTCCTTTACTCTTGCTTGACAACGGTATAAGAATCTAAACCGAAACGTCGCATCATACTATAATAAAGAAATTGTTATCCATAAGAGTAACGTACCTTTCTTATTTCTCATCAACTTCTAAAATGCCAATCAAACAGAACTCCAGCAGGATTCGGTACAAGATCCTCCTCATTGTGTTCGAAGCAAGGCATGGCCTTGCAGCACAGTATTTGCAAACCTCATAACCAGTCACACCAGCAAGAACTCTTCGTACGGGGATCAGAATCTGCTCTGCGTGCCAGCATCTCGCAAAGCATCATTAATTTGGAGATAGGTTCTTTGCAGCAGCTGTACCCACAGTCTCCCTACTGACATCAGAAATATTCAAGATGTTGCCACTTTCCAGAAACATCTCAAGACATACAACGATGTGTTTCACTCCAGTCAATGTAGAACTCCTAGAAGCGCTTTTGAGAGCGATCACTGGATACCAGCGCTATATACAGCCAAAGTTATTCTCATTATTATCCTGTGTGCAGCTAGACGCCAGCGAATATCCCTTGGCGATATCCTGCGACACCAGGAACTGTTCGGGCTGTTAGTGTGGCTGGTTGGAATCTTTGACGCAGAAAGGTGGTTCGAATCCAACCATCGTTGCGTTGCGTGGTTACAGGTGGACGGCCACGGTGACGGTCTGCAACGACGGCGTTTTGTTGATAACATCTTCACAAACGGCTGATGGTGTTCCTGTGAACGTTAACTGCTGTGCAACGTTGCGCTGGGGTGTTCCGGTTTCAAGTATTCCAATGGCTCACCTTCTTTCATTTTCAGTTCGCCGTGGCATAGAGAAATGCAATCAGATTCTTCAAAATTTGCGTTTTTCGGACCCGTCGACGACTAAACAATGATTTTGGTGACAATGATTCGAGCCACACTTTTTAAAGAGCACGTTTTATGCCATTTTTCCACGGACTTCTTGAAAGCACGAAAAACACATACAAATAAAAACTACCGACAGGGCCCTGTTTGGGTTATGGATTAAGTGTATTATAAAGAATATCAAAATGCGTCATAAGACATTTCTTATTTATATACTCCTCACAAAAAGTTAAGCAACACAAATTTTTAGTCTCATTACAGTTTCATTTATTGAAATTGCAAATAATGGAATGATGCAATAGAAAGGTGAAACATATGTACACACGATTAACAAAATGAAATATAATGGTATTGACAAATAATAGACTTACAAATCATCAAAAGTGTGTACCCGTGAAACAGTCGTGCAAAATGTGCTGCATTGATGGAGTAAAATGTTAACATTAAGATTCAAGTCTGTTTTGGACAGTGAAGCAGTGTTCAGTAACGCGAATGACCACCATGAGCACAAATGCAAGCTTCTACACCTCTT